CAAGATAGCTTTAATTAATAAGACTGTGATTTAACTTTTCATTTCTTTGGTCGTATTAAGTATTAAAAATCAATACTCTATTATGCCATAATAGTACTTTGTTTGTAAGATTTAATTTAGTATCTTGATTATATACACTTCAATCACTTAAAATTAATTAACATGATAACTTCTCATAAACTCCAGCTAGAAGATAGATGAGGCTTGTCAAAGAAGTTTAGTGAATTCCCAAGGTAAATAAAAAGTTTATATTTCTTACTCCAATATTAGAAGGAATAAATAATGATCTCTTTTGGAATAGGCCAGAAAACATCTGACCTATCCTTTTTCTCAAATTTATATTTGTTTGTATTAAGAGCATAATTTGACAACCACATCAATTATTCTTGAGTCTGTATCGTGTTGGAAAATATTTTTACAATAATTAAGACAGAATCATCATGCATTTGAACCCTAATTTTGCTACACACTAGCTGTTTGGCAAATGACTTGACTTCTGTGAACTTCAGTTTCCTTATATATAAAATGGAAATAATAATAGGTACTTTGCAGAATTAGTTGGAGGATTAACAGTAAGTAGTGTATGTAGGGCACCTGGCACAGATGTTCACCTAATATTAAATATCTAGACAGCAGATATCTAAATAATCATCACATGTGTAGTTTCAGTTCACTCTGGATGGTCTTATAGATTTCCCTAATCTTCATTCTGCATATTTAACACGAATATCAAAGAAACCCAAGTGCTCCATCTTTGTATACATGAAATGTTGATTCTCTTCCCATATACTGTAGTGAGGCAGAAGAGTGTCTTCTGGAATATTTTTTCACTTGGTTGTACTCTCACATTAGAAAAAGTTGGGGTTAAGACAGAGATGAGACTGGTGTCTTAAGACCTGTTCAGTTAACCAAAACTTTAGATCAAAAAATCCATTTACGTATTTGATTCAACTGAAGTAATTTGCATTATGAGATCTTTCCCTGTTCACCTCTCTTTTCTATTGTTTTGAGAAGATGTAGCAGGAAACATACTGGAGGAATCTAAAAGAAGTTGACAAGTACATGTCACACTTTGTGGTCATATCAATCCCCTCTGTGCAAGGTAAATATTAATGCTTCTCATTTCTTGGTTTCTTGGTTGTGCAATTTCAATTATATGGCCAAATCCTAATCCCTTATTTCCAAGTGCTGTTTCCTTGAAATAAGAAACAAAACCAAGTTTTGAGATTAGGACAGCATCCAACAAATGAAAAAAAATCCTAGAGAAAACAAACTGGAAGCTTGTTGGAGTCACCTCCCATTAGATTGTTAGGAAAACAAGTGGTAGAGCAAACATCGTTAATCCTGTTTCTGATTTGTGCCTTTTGCCATTTAGGGGATAAAGACGTGAATCTAATGAGACCAACAATCCATTTTCAACCTTACAAGTGATGCATTTAATTTGTCAGAATCTAAATCAGCAGGACCTCTCAGTGTGATTGTGTGGTATAATCCTATTCATAAAATATCCCTCTTTGTTATGCCAAAGAAGTGGTGGACCTTCCTAAGGGTCAGTTCACCGAATTGTCAGTGGAAGCCCCATCATACTCAAAGCTGGTAAGTCACACACCCAAACACAACCGCTGACATTCCTTGGGGAGGAAGCAAAGCTTAATTTAGATAATCCCCTTTGCAAAGTGTATTAGCTGATCCAAACCAGACCTGGCTGACTAAAGGGATGTCGTTCCTACATTTCAGAATGCATCCATGTAGAAATAGCTTCTTTTTCATTTGGAGGACTAAGATCCACTTATGGAATCAGTAGAGATGATCAATAAGCTACGTTAAAACATATAAAACTGCTTCACATTTGGCTTTGACTTTCTATCCACTTAAATGGGGGAGGAGGATCCTCATTTTTTTGTTGTTCTAGAAAGTGCTTGGCAGAGTTCCTCTAATTCTATTTCACATATGAAAATAAACAATAACAATAAACAGAATAGGGGAAATATGCTGTATATCACAAAGGGGTACTTTTGGTTTGTATAGAGAGGTTCATGAAAGAATATGCCTGGTTTAAGGATACATATCCCTCCATGTCATATATTAGATCCTTCAACAGTAAGACACAGGTAACTATAGACATATGGCAATGTCAGGACATACAGTAACTGATAGAAAAATACCCCCAGGAACCACATATAAAGTAATGCCATGATTGAGGGTCAAAAAAGAAAGGGGTGAAGAGTAGGAGTAAAAGATACATGTTTTTGTCAGCAGAAGAAGAGAAAAGGATTTCAAATTAAAACATAAATCCTTGAATTTATTGTGAAATACCTATATTACTGGGAAGTGGAATTGTTATAATCTTGAAAAAATATTATTTGTAATAAATGATATGATTCATATATTTAAGAAAACCCGAATTTTCCTTAGAAATTAGAATCCAAAGAGGGAAAAATTTATCAGCAGAAGATATCTATGTGCTTGGGATCAGGAATCAGAGTCCTCTGAGGTGCTGCGGTGCATGGAGAAGCCTCTTCTGTCTGAGCTGCAGAAAAGCTCTTTTGAGAACTTGAACCTCAACTTGGCTTTATTGATAGAACAGAGAGAACAACTTTTAAGTAGTTTCTCTTAAAAAAGAACATTCCATGGTGAGAATTCCATAGGGGGAAATGATACCAGGTGCCATATCAAGAACATGATGGAAAGATAAAAATATCCAAAATGATCTAGAATAAGATCTAGAGGGGAGAAGGAGAAACAAATGAGAAGAGGAAGAAAAAAGAGGAGGAAGAGGAGGTGGAGGAGGAGGAGAAACAGGAGGAGGAGAAGAAAAAGAAAGTATGAATATGAGGAGTGAAGGAAAGAGGAAGTGGGAATCAGAGACATGGAGAGATGAAGAGAGCCGAGTATAATGACACTTAAGGACAGCCTTTATTATTATAGTTATGGATGAACCCTTTTAGGTCTCTCAGTTTTTGTGTAGTATCCTGACAGCTAAAGTGTCAGACATAGACCAAGAGATAACACATATCAGCAAGGAAAGTATTGAAGAATGTAAATTCATGATGATAGCTTTTTAAAAGGTAAATTATATGTAGTCATATACTTAGTGAGAAATGGATTAAAGCAACAGCTATAAAATAAAATACCATGCAGTTATTAAGAATGACAGTAAAGGAATATTTATTAATTAGAAAAGATATCTATCTCTTGGTTGTGCAATTTCAAGTAGGCTACAAAACAGTATGCACAACATGACACAACATTTTCTGAAAAAAAAATTATATATAATATGTAGCAACATGTGCAGTTCTCAATGTGATGGGATTGTGGTTTTTAATATTTTTTGTGTACTCTTTCTTTTCTACAGTAAATGTGGTATTTATGTAATTATAAGATAACATTAAAATGGTAAAATTGTCATTGTTTTAATTATTCATTCCTAGACAAAGCTTTCACAATAGCGTCTTGAAATATATCACTATAAATGGAGTTCACGTCTAGTGATAAAGTGTGGTGGGATTCTAAATCAAAGGATATTTGAAGTAAAGTATACCTGTTATGTGTATGTGTCCGGTTACTGTGAAATTGTAGTAGGATAAATGGTACTTTTCAACAAGATTTTCAATTCCAGAACATTTCACCATGAAACCAGTTCAGGGGCAAGTCCTGTCAAGTTTATTTAGTTATACCGTTGACCCCATGACATGGTACTAAGATAAATAAATGTAAAACTTGGAAATACAAGTCAGAGCTGAGTGATCTCTTTCAGACTTTAAGCCAACAGCCATGTTTATCTTCTTCATGTAAAAATTTAATTATAATTTTTGTCATTAAGGTCTACTTTTAGTGTGAAGTTGGGAAATCCTACTAGGTTGCAAATGATAACCAGAGACCATGTGTTACAGTGGAAAGAACAGGACTAGAAACAAAGAAACCTGGATTACATTCCCAGTTTTGTCACTAGGAAAGTGTGTGACCTTGGACAGATAACTCACTTCCAATGAGTTTATCCTCTCATCTGTAAAGTAAGAGGAGAACTAGCAGTCCTCTTAGATGCCTTCCTGGCTTCCTGGAACATGGTGAAAACTCTAGTTCTATCAACACATGGTATTTAACTAGTTTCTAGTAACACAATGGTTTTTAACTCAATATAATGCATAAGAACCAAAACTTTTTCAAGCCATCCAAATATCCGGAAGAAAACACAGTTAAATACACACTATACTTGTCCTACGGTGGTCAGGGTTTTAATCGAATTGTCCAGCACGAATGCTATTGACTTCAAAATCATATAGTCTGTGTGTCAATCAAGCTCTCAAGATCTCTAAGTCTCATTTCACTTACCTGAGATCATTCATAGTTTATAAAACACAACTATAAAGCTAACCAAAGAAATGTATTAGGTCCAGAGGAAATGGCTTTAAGTGGGGGAAAACAAACAAACAAACAACTCTTGAATCAACTTTACAGGTAAATAATTTTCTACAAAAAAAATAAATTTTGCTTCTTTCTAGTGCAAGATCCCTAATTCAACAATCTCATAGCTCTGTACAAGCTTAAGAGCAAGTAAAGTGATCATTCAAATTACAGAGTTTCAGAGACCCTATTCTTTTCTCTATCACTGTAGATTTTGATTCTGCTGAAAACCATCAAAATTTTGGGTCACCAAATTTAGTTATAGAATCAATTTTTTACAAATATGGTGGGATTTGAACTGAACATTAGGTAAATTAGTGTTCAAAGTTATAAAAAGCAAATATTTTGAGCGTAAACAATAGTATTAACCTTATTGTTGACATACTTGCTGTATTCACATTAAGCTCTCCTTTGTTTTTATATTCAAAATTAATTTGACCATATATATATATATATATATACATATATATGTGTGTGTGTATATATATATATATATTTTTTGCAAACCACTTCAATCTTTTTTTTAAGAGTTGGCAAAGAGACGTAGAATATAAATAAGTCATGCATAATTATTTTTGGAATACAACAATCTTCACCTGTTTTTCTCATGAATCTTTAGAATTTCATTTGTCTGTTGAAGAAGTTGCTTCTCTAGTTTGTATGTTGATAATGAATTCTCCAACAGTTGAATTTCAAGTCGAGAAGTTTGATTTAACACCTGAAGATAAAAAACAAAAACATTTCAAACTCCCATCACAAGGAATGAAAATAATTATCTTGGGTTTTATATTTAGTTGTATTTTCTTTTAAATTAATATTTCTTCCAGAATATTTAATCAAGTGGTCTACATTCTATTAATTAATGTTTCTTAAATATTATATTCATTTGATATTGAGGTTGTAGTTGAATGAAAAAACTGAGTCATTAAATCCATTTTCATACTTAAATTTGTGTCCTGAATCCCTAGGATACTTCATTATGCTAGTTGCTTTATAAATATTGTCACCAATGTTTACAAGTGTAAAATGAGTACAAGGTCTTACATATTGTGCATAATTAATAATAACTAATAGGTATGTAAATTATGCTTGCCTTGATCCATCACCTTACCATCACCAATTAGAACCGCGCCACAACCTTTGACACAGTTTAGCCAGATTCATGATCACACATTTATTGAACACCTATAATATTAGGTCATGTCAGCCCTTCTAGAGGTCATATTATATTATAGAATGGGCACCTGTTAAAGGAGTAATTATTATCACTTTATAAATGAGGAAACAGGTTCAGCAAGTGGCTAAAATCCACCTACGAACCAAAGAAAGAGCTGTGTTTCAAACCTAGATAGTGTGACTCTAATTCTAATGATCTATACAGAAAACTAAGAAGAGGGAGAGTCAAACTATCTTAGTCTGGGTCTTAATCTGAGTAAAGTGACCAGGAACTCAGATCACACTGAAGATAAGATTGTAGTTATCCTTCCAACTGCACTACACTGAGTCCTCTAGAAACTATAAATGTTTGACTCATTTTGAATCATGAAGACTCACATCGTGAGTTAAGCTTCAATATAACGTGAGTCTGTGAGCTGTGCACCCAAACTCACTCATAGTCTGAGCACACGTTGCTTAGAAGATGCCTTCAAACTGTGCCAGGGTCCTTGTACCTCCCTGTCTTTGTCTTGCCTCCCACCCACTTCCTGCTTAAGGAGGTAAAGGGGGCAATGAAGAGGTATTTGTAGAATGTTTTAGAGTTTTTAGAAATATTTTCTTATTCTGAATCATTTCATCTGAGGAAAAACAGGAGCAAGAGAACCTGGGATTTGAAGATAGAGCTAGGAGCAGTTTAGAGGAAAAAATGGTAGAGAATGTAAAGATTAGGAATACACAAAATATAACTTTCGACTATTAAATATTTTTGTAAAGGCAAGTTTTATGTTTGTTTATTAGCTAGAATGACAATTTATAAAATAATTAATAGGTAATGAGACATCTGTATCTTTTGGTGACACTTAGAATAAGGCTTGGCACAAAAAAGAAACTCAGTATTTACTGAATAAACAAAAGGTACATGTTTCACTGAATCAAACATATCATACGCCATGAAATGTTTTCTTGCTTCTGCTCAAGAAGGTGAAGTAAGTAAATACTGTACTTGCCTCCTCTTACAATCATATCAAAATTACAACTAACTTATAGAACAGCCATCATTGGAAGTCGCCTGCAGTCTAGCTGAATAAAAGTCCTATGACTTGAAACATACAGAAAAGGTCACCTTGAGCCTGGTAGGAGGGGCAGAGACACAGAATGGGCTGGTTCCATACCCTCATATGGTGGTTGAAAATTGGGAGAGATATCTGAGCTGTGGTGGTTCTCTCTCCCTTCCCCCCCGCCCCCCACTGCCCCGAAGAGCCAGGGTTCCCAGCTCTACACCAGGCTCCTCAGCCCAGGGTTCCAGTGCCAAGAAGAGAAGTCCCCACAACTTCTGGCTGTGAAAGCCAGAGGAGACTGTGGCTGAGTGAGGCAGAAGGTGGCTGCGGTCATAGAAATTTTCCTAAGGAGCCCAGGCAGACTTACTCTCTGATGGACTTACTCACTCTGAGCTCCAGCACTGAGGCAGCAGCTTGAAAGGTGCCAGGCACATATGAGAAGAAACTGAATTATCTGGATTCAGGGCAAGGGATAGAGGGGCAGCCTTCTCCCAGATATAAGTGCTGGTAGAATCCATTGTTTCTTTGTGGAGCCCTCTTCACTCCTGGCATGCAGATGCAGTTGGGCACCATATCTGAGTCTCCATCAACCTGGTTAACACAGGTCACTACACCCACTCAGGTGATTCCCTGAGACCCTGCCTCATCCAACTTGTGGGTCCAGCCAAGTCACTTCCAGTGACCTTTCCATACAAAAGTCCTGTCTCATCTCATGCCTGAGGATACCTATAATTTAGGCCACTCTGCTAAGACCAGGAGATACAGCAGCATTACCTAATACATAGAAAAAAAGAAAAGAAAACAGAGGGAAGCAACCAAAATGGGAAGACAAAGAAACTTATCCCAAATGAAAGAACAGGACAAAGCTCTAGAAAAAGAACTAAACAAAATGGAGACAAGCAATCTACCAGATGCAGAGTTCAAAAGACTGGTTAAAAGGATGCTCAATGAACTTAGGGGGAGAATAGACAAATTCAGTGGACAGATAAAGAGCTTCCCAGACAAAAATAAGCTAAGGGAATTTGTCAATACCTAGTCAATATTACAGGAAATATTGGAGGGCTTCTTTAAGAAGAAAAAACATGTATCAAAAACAGGAATAAAGAATGGTAATAACTACATTCCTATCAACAAGTACCTCAAATGGAAAAGAATTAAGTGCTCCTACTGAAAGACAGGGTGGTTGAATTGATAAGAAAACAAGACCTCTCCATATGCTGCCTACGAGAGACTCCTTTTAGATTAAAAGACCCCTACAAACTAAAAAGAAGGGAATAGAAAAAGACATTGCCTTGATAGACCTAGAGGGTATTGCCATGAATGAAGTAAGTCAGGGAAAGACAAATAGCACATGATTTCTTGTATATGTGAAATCTTAAGAATGAATTCGTAGATACAGAGAATATATTGAGGGCTACTAGATGGCGGGTTGGGAGGGATGGCGAAAGAGGGCAAAGGGAGTAAGAAGTACAAACTTCTTAATTTCAAAACAGACATAGAGAGATAAATTGTAGCATATGGAAAATAGCTAACAATGTTGTAATAAATATGTAAGGAAGAAGAGGGGTACCAGATTTAGTGGGGTGATCATTTTTTGAGTTATATAAATATCTAATCACTATGCTGTATAACTGAAACTAATATATTATTGTATGTCAACTATAAGTGGAAAAAGAAAGCTTTCTAGACAAGAAAAAGCTAGAAGAGTTCATCAACACAAAACCAGTATTACAAGAAATGTTAGAGGGACTTCTAAAAGAAGAAGAAAAAAAAGATTAAAAATATGAATAATTAAATGGCAATATGTATCTATCAACAATTACTTTAAATGTAAATGTATTAAATGCTCCAGTCCAAAGATAGGGTGGCTGAATGGGTAAGAAAACAAGACCTTTACATATGTTGCCTATAAGAGACTCACTTCACATCGAAAGACACACAGACTGAAAGTAAAGGGATAGAAAAAAGATATTTCATGAAAACAAAAACAAACAAACAAAAAGCCATGGTAGCAATACTTATATTGGGCAAATAGATCTTAAATAAGGCTAGAACAAGAGACAAAGAAGGATCTAGTAAACCCACTTCTCGATATTTAGGCAAAGAAACCCAAAACGCTATTTCAAAGGGACATGTGAATCCAGATGTTCATTGCAGCATTACTTACAATAGCCAAAATATGGAGGCAATCTGGATGTCCAACAATAGAACCATAGATGGATGGATAAAGAAGAAGGGGCATATATACACAATGGAATATTACTTAGCCATAAAAAGCATGAAATCTTTGTCATTTGTAACAACATGGATGGACCTGGACGGTATTGTGCTGAGTGAAATAAATCAGACAGAGAAAGACAAATGCCATATGATTTCACTTACATATAAAATCTAAAGAACAAAACAAACAAACAAACAAACAAAACAGAAACAAACTCATAGATACAGAGAACATTTTGATGGATGCTAGATGGGAGGGGCTTTGGGAGAGTGGGTGAAAAAGAGAAAAGGTTAAAAAGTAAAAATTGGTAGCTACAAAATAGTCATGGGATATCAAGTATAGCATAAGGAACATAGTCAATAATATTGTAATAACTATGTATGGTGTCAGATGGGTATTAGATATGTCAGAGTGATCACTTCAAAAGTTGTATAAATGTCTAATCACCATGTTATACACTTGAAACTAATGTAATACTGTATGCCAACTGTAATTGAAAAATAAAAAATATTTTAAAAAGATAAAAATAAAAAGTAGATTCATCTAAAATAAATAAATAAATAAGTAAGTAAGTAAATAAATAAATAAATAAATTTCCCCTTTATTCATCATATTCTCTAATCATACTTCCTGATATTCTCAAATACCATTTTTTTTTTTTAAATTTTACAAAGGACAGAATTTGTTCTCCATATCTGAGAAAAGCATAAGAGAACACAAAGAAAAGAATGGAAACCTCCAAAATTAAAAGTGAAGCTGCCTATATCTAAGTCTGGAGACTACTACAGCTTCTAATTTCTCTCGACTCTATCCTACTTCTAGTCCATTTGTTACAGAGCAACCAGAATGATCTTTGTAAAAATATAAGTCAGATCATGCCACCTCCTATATTAAATTTGCTAAATCTTCCTTTCAGTTAGAACAAACTCCAAAATCCTTTGCCTGGCCTACAAAGATTTTTGTGATCAGGAATCTTCTTAATATTCTGCCACTCTCCACTTTGTTTATTATACTCCAATCATATTGAGTATTTGCCACCTCA